AAAAAATTTAATTGTAAGGACTGGGTGTACACAGTACCAGTTATATCACATGTATCAGCTTTTTGTCACGTGACTAGCAAAAAAAATAGAACTGAACTGAATGTAGAAAACAAAGATTGTACAAATGCATATGATTGTTTTTGAAGTAAAAGACTGATACACATTAAAAGTTGTTTAATCCCTCTACCCAAAAAGTGCTGGGAGCTAGTTTATGCTGCTTGGCAAGTTCTGAAAATTTTGCCGAAAATGTGTTCTATAGCGGAAATTTCCACTTCGATTAAATTCTGTTAAAAATAAAAATTATGTTATGCAGACCAGCTCCAGCACTTTTCATTTCAAAATATACACTATATAAGAAATGAATTTTCCTTATAACAGCCTAAAGGAAATAGCCTATGCTCTTGCACTTTTGATGTAAATCACGAATACGCTTTTTGCAATAACAATATTCTATGTACATTCCCTGTCTCTTTGTAGATCCAGTGCTACTAGATAAATTCGTATTCTGTATATATTGCATTAATAACATAGTTTTATTTTACTTTTAATGATGAGATTAAAATTAAAGGATAATTTCATATTTATTTGAGCATTTTTGTAATAATACAACCGTTGAATCTATCTCTCTGGATCACTTGTGCTGCGTCATGTCAAGGCTGGTGACTTCATATTTGACGAGATACTTTCTTCTATTACTCGACGGTACTGTTAACAAGTATTGTAATTTTACATTTTATAACAAATGGATTCAAATTGTGATTTATGCACTGTCAATTTGATTTTTTGTTGCTTGTTAATTTTTTTTCTTGACGTCACAATTAAACTCCATAAACGGTGCAACATGAATGTAAACTCTGAATTTCCCTTTAACATAGTTGAGATGCTACATTTAAAAATCACCCAGAAAATGTCGACTTTTTAATGCTGTTTCTTTTATATTCGCCATTTTATAGTTCGTCCACTTACAATGGTGCGGAATGCAAAAATTTCTTGTTTAAACTTATTGGAAGTTAAATCTTATAAATCAAATTCAACCAATAAATTTGTTTAAATCTTTTTGGACAAAAATTTTGAGTTTAACCTATATAATTCCTTTTAACTCTCGAGTCACTATCAATTACTTTTTAATGCGTTTTAGGTAATGCTTGGAAACTACAGAGGGCAAACTTTTTCCACATATATGTTCCAAATTTGTTTCTGGCTGCCCAGATGTAGGGTTCCGCAGTAACGAAATCTATAAATGTATGGACCATTTTCTTTGATTTTTTTTTTTACTTAAATTCTTACACATATCAAAATACTTTTGATACATGATTTAATTTCATCTTATTTATTTTGATTGACATCAGACCCTGCCTGCCAAAATATTAGTTCAGAGAATGGTTGTTATCTTGCTGATCCATCATGTGCTAACACGTAAGTGTTTGATATTTATTGATCAAATTAGGAATCATCCTGCATGTAGTAAGTATATTCTAATAAATTTATTTTGTCGAATAGAACCAGGGAAATATCTAACGAAGGAACACCAGAAACAAATTTCACTGAGTTTACAACAGATCATGTGATAGACAACACAATAGCAATGGATATTGACACAACCACATACCCAGAAGACGACTCAGCACATATAGGGGCAATACTGGGAAGTCTTGTGGTTTAATCTTATTCTCCTGCTGATATTAGTGAGGGTTGTGTGGAAAAGAATGCAAACACAGAGAAAACAAGAAAACGATGAATCTTCAAGTATGACTTTTCCTTGAGGTTTTTATTTTATTACCGGAAGTTTCTTCCTTACTGTAATGAATAGATAATTTTTAAATTTGGCAAACAAAAGGAATTTTTAATTTCTAATTTTATTTCTTCAGTTATATTAAAATATGAAATTTTTGAAAGAATAGTAAATATATAAGATTATGAAAAAAAATTATATTTTTTTAAGTTGAAAGAAAAACATTATTGAAAGAAGCAGGAGAAGTCCAAGGTAATTTTTAATCATTAGAATAATAGGTTAATATTTTAGAGAAATTGTTTAACATGCATGTATATGCATTTAATTGTATGTAATATAAGGTATTATAGATGTATACGAATTTTAGTATGATAATCCACAGTAGCAGTTAATGTTTTGGAAATGGGAAAAAAGATAAATAAATTTAAAAAGAAAGTTTAAAATGATATTAATGGAATCTTCTTCACTTAGGGACAATAAAAAAAGAAGAAACGGACGTCAAAAATGAACAAAAGAACAGGGATTATGATGCCCATATAGTTGGTGTCAAAAGTAAACCAAAAGAAAGAAAACATTTTATCAAGGAGGTTAGCTTTAGTAGTGAATCAAAGGTGACAGATACTGGTGTCAAAGAGGCCGGTCTTCAAAATGAACCAGAGGAGAATGAGCTTGTTTTCACAGAAACTGATGCCAATAGTGAACTAGAGGGAAGAGAGTATAGTGTCATAGAAACTAATGTCAAAAGTGAACCAGAGGAGAGCGAGCATGATGTACAGGATGATTCCACAAGTAGGAATATATATTAGAGATGATCAAAAAGTTTGCAAACTCTCTCTATAATAAAAAAATACCACAATTTAGATCAGAATGAAATTTGGCACATATATAGCTATACATATGTTTAGGACTTTATCTCTATTCTACCATGTCTACTAAAATCGCTTAAATACGGCTGATCGTTTCCTCTAGAGAGAAACAAATTAGGTCACCATTTCTCGATTACGCTATTCCATTTAACACCAGAGGTAAATTTTTTTTTGATTACCTGTGAATAGAATGCAGACGATTTGAGCTTTTGTTACATTAAAATTAGCCTTCTAAAATTACAAATTCTTTCGTAATATATATTGATCAGTTATAATGAATGTACAATAACAAAATCATGTTCCTGTTTTACTACTTTATTCGGACTAAAATCATGTTGTTCAAATGGGGTGTCCGTGGAATAGCCCTGCTTAGCTATGAAAACCGACATTCATCAGCAACGTTATGCAATTTGCAGTGTTTATACTGCAAAAGACGACACATCGATGCGGTCTAAACTAGTAATTCATTCTACAGCCAAACGTTCATTTGAGTTGTTCAGATTTAATACGTGTTTCTGATCTGATAATTTTTTATGATTTTTGGAAATAATGTCTGTGCCTTTTCTTTGATCTTTGCAATAATCCTTATAGAATATGACATACATGTACACTGTATACATTTATTATGGTTTTATAAGAAATCTATCAATACACATTAAGACAAATAATAAGTTATGTTAACTGGACAATTCAATGTTAAATTGATTTTGTGTCTATGTTATTCATGTATTACTTTTCTCTCGTAGTGGAAAACTTGGGTGATTATGATCTGTGGAGGACAAATATATCAGGTGAGTATATATAAAATACTGTCCGTCTGTCTAGCTGTCTGTCTGTCCTTCCGTCCGATCGCATTTTTTTAATTTCTTGGTTTACGGTTCCGCCGACCATATTTTTTTAAAGAAATAAAATAAAAATTTTAGATTATTTTCATCTAAGTCTCCCAACTCTATTAAACAAAATAACCCAAAAAATGTAAATAAAATATGTTATAAATCTAAGAATTTATCTTTTTAAATTATTTAGAGGAGAAATTGTTAAATATATTCCCCTTAAAAGCCTTTTGAACATGTACAGCAGCCGTTATTAAAATTTAAGTGATGCAATACATCTGGCGATGTTTTGTAAATAGTTATTAAGTTTACTTTCATGCACTTTAGACACTAGTTGATTAAAGTAAATAACAGTTATCATGACAGTTGCAATTGGTAATGAACTTATCGTTCCATCTTTGCATAACTGTGATTACTAATGTTTATACGAGGTTTGATCCAAAAGTAATGTCACAACTTCGATAAAATTGTTATAAATCGACGTAAAACAACAAAATTATACACGATAAAAGCCTTATTTATTTCAACTCAGACCTGAAAAATTCAAAGGAATATGATGTACACTTTCCAAGTTATCGGATTTTAAACAATATGCGTTTGTGGTACTCGCCGCACCTAAATATAACGTCATATGACGGATACGTGTCCTCATACTTTTAAGCGTTCCCTTTCGTTTCATTAAAAAAATATTTGTGATTCGCAAACACTTTCACCAACTTCACTTTCTTTAAGAATTCTCAGTACCATTATACACTCACTCTTTTCATAATTAAACCCTCTGTCAAATTTTTTTGAACAGTAGCATGAGGCAAACTTAAAAATTCACACGTCACTCTATCCGTCTGTGTTTTTTGACAACGTCAGACACCATTGAACGTTTACGTCCGATCTCCTATCTTTCAGATTTCTTGTCCTCTGCTGATCATTCAGTGACCCATCATCCGCCGAAAATTACTGAAACCATCTATAAAGAAGTCTCTTATTTACATTCTTTATTCTGTGAGTCTAATTGATTAACGTAACTCTCGCTAGTGAAGATTCCCATATTTTGAAGCGAAAATGCATTACAACTCGTCGAGCCGTTTTTTTCCCCAAATCGACATTCCCATTGTTCAATTCAAGAGAGTAAAACAACAATGTTTAAGATCACAAATACCAATGCCGTCATTTAATTATCAATTAAAGTCTAGAAAATGACTTGAATTGTGTCTTTTTGAAAATAAAATGAGATTTGGTGTTTTTAGTGTCTTTTAAATGTGTTTGTATATTTCATTCTAAGAAAAAAATCACTTTAAAATGTGACGTCCAGCTGTGACGCGGCGACACCCCCTATGCTTTATATTTTAAACATCTATAAAATAAATTTAAATAAACATTATTAAATGAAAATTTCAATCTTTATTAGATTTGTATTTGTGCATCTTTTGGTATATTGTATTTGATAATATGACGCCAAATATAAAAGATATGGACACTGTGACATTACTTTTGGATCAACCCTCGTATTCAGGGTTCGACTAATACCCCCAAAACGCGTAAATTTCCAATCATTCATTTTGTCTCATTTTAAATACAGTGTAATCAAGAACAGTTTTCTTTCATTTGTTTAAAATTGTGTGGTAACTATTTTTGTTACACTAGTACTTCAGTATAATTAAACCACATAGTATAGATATCTTTTAATAGCTTGTTAAAGAGAAAAGTGAAGTATACCATTTTTTTAACCTTAGCTGATCCTTGAAATTGTAGTAGTTTCGATTCATTATTTACTTAAACAAATTGTTTCAACAAGTAGCAAATGCTTTGAATGCATGTATCTTTATTCTTGAAAACAGGAAATATGGTATGGCACATCATAGAAGAAGTGTCTGAGTGGTATTAATACTCATCATAACATAATTTTATAATATTGTTGCTTCCTCTCTTTTTTTTGGGGGGGGGGGGGGGGGTCGGTATTGAAATTGCATGTCTGTCATAAAAACACAAAAACTTCATTTTTTGATTTTTTATTTCTCCGACCGACCCTAATTGTTGGGGAAAAAATCCCTAAACCGAGAAATTTAAAAAAAATGTGGCCTAGCTGTCCTCCTGTCTCTCTGGTTGTCAGCATGTCCCACTTGGTTTTCCGCACTTTTTTAAACACTTGCAAATATCGAGCTGGATTTGTTGGTATGTGAGTGTAAGTCCGTCTGTCTAGCTCTCTGTTTGTCCTTCCGTCCGTTCGCTGGCCCGTCCTCCCGTCTGTCTGTCAGTCTGTCCCACTTGGTTTTCCGCACTTTTTTTCGCAACACTTGCAGATATTGAGAAGGAGTTTGATGGTATGTGAGTATATTTTGACGAGTAACAGATCAAGTTTGAATTTCGTTCCGTATCATTATTTTTGACGGAAGTATTGCATTTTTAATAGTTGGGATTGTGATTTGGTTATTGATGCACTAAATTAATATTCCAAACTAGCTCTATCCTACAGAGAAAAGGGGAACCCAGAAGGGGACATGAATTGCTGATGCAATAATCTCAGAATCCTTGTTTATATTGATTTTTTCATCACATATCATTGACAACTCTACTGCACTTCAAAATCAATGCATGAAATGTAATATAAAATGAAGTTTGACAAAAACCCTTGATACAGCAAGTGTGTTATTTAGCTTATTGAACATCTGTACAGTTACGTTAAATAACACCTTGTAATATACATGATCCTTTAAAATGCAAATAATTAATTTATCAATTTAATTCAAATTAATGTTTCCTTTTGTTAAAAAGAGTTGCCATTAGTAAAAAAAATGATTTTTGCTTATTTAGATATCTTTAAAGGAACCTAATGAAATATCTTCTATGGAATTTGTTAAAAGTTCCTCATGAGTGACATTAATTTTCCTCATGAGCGTACCTAAATTAAACCATCTATTAATTACAATACCAAATCCAAATGAAGAAATCTTAGATAATTTAACACAGCAGGTGTTTAAATTTGTATGGGGGGTCAAAAAGTGATAAAATAAAAGGTGTTGTTGCAACGCAGCACCAGACATTTGGAGGCCTTAACATGGTAAATCTTTAAAAAAAATTATACTTTCTCTAAAATGTTCATGGATTCAAAGAATTATTTAAGGAATTACTGTCTAGTTTTGAGAGTATGCCAGGGCATCAACAATAATGGGAAACATGGGATAATTTGCATAAAGGGCAAAGCCCGTTATGCTAAAATTATCCCATGTTTCCCACAATTCTTGATGTCCCTGGCATACTCTCAAAAACTAGACAGTGATTCCTTATATTTTCATTTTTTAATTTGTTTTTGTAAGCGTCCAATGTTACTAGATTTGAAATACACAACTTTCATCATACTTAACATTGGCTGACCTTTGACGTCAATTTTTACTTTAAAAAATAGTTCCAAAAAGCACGAAACAAATTAAATGATTTTTTAATTACTGTATTCAAACATTGACATTTATGAAATAAGCAACAATAGAATTATAAATTGTGAACAAAGTAATCTTGTTAATTGTAATGATAAATACGTGACCTAGATAATAGATTTAGCGGAAATATAAACACGTGTAAGCTAATTCTACGCCGCAATGTTGAAAGTGAGAGTACAGTTGATAAAACGGGAGCTGGTCAGGAAACTGGTCTGCGTTGATGATAGAAACACGGAGGAGGATGAGTTGTCGGAATTAAATGACTGAGTGACGTTGTCAGATGATGGCATGGCTATAGCGATTTGTCGGTCGGAATTAAATGACTGAGGGACGATGTCGGATGACACTGAGGCGATTTGTCGACATGATTCAGTGTTGTCGGAAGTGTTCTCATTCTTGGCCTCGGTGATGGTTGATGGTTAATGTTGCGCTGGCAATTTGCTTTTGATCCGAAGATAGCTCCCTGCAATAACTCCGGATTGAAGCCTCATTACTATGACCGGATATATACATGATGTTGCGCGCTTCAAACCCAGCATCATTCATGGTTTGGATTGCTGTTGCTCGGAGGCTGTGTGCTGTGTACCGTTGACATTCTGCCATTTTGCAAATATCAGGTAAGAAATTTACAAATGCTTTCTGGGAAAGAGAGTGAGTTGTATACCAAAGTTCTTGATCGGGATTCGAAATTGCCTCTCTAACACATTTGTTAAACAGATTTGTAGCAGTTATAGGAGTCTTTGATAGGAAGAACTTCAATATTTGAACTGGGCCAATTTTTGATTGTGTTTCGTACATTCGTTTGTCAGCCATCATCTCATGTTTGTCGAGTCCACCATCGTAGTTTTTTTTTTTACTGTTTTGGTTCGTGAGTTAGACAGACATAGGTCAAGCCATTTTCGTCGGTTTTGAATTCGAACGAGTCCCTTTTAAGTTGGTGGTGAAATTCAAGTCCTCGCGATATAAAGTGAATTGCTATGGTACACCACATTGCCAAGCGCAGATTTATTGGTGAGGAACATGCAGTCTCTAGAAAGGATGAGATTTTTTTTAGATCAGGTTTGGGAATTATTTCCTTGTGTTTTGTGGGGCGAGATTTTCCCTCTGTCATCTTTTGTTTTAGGAGGCCAGTCAAGCATTTGTTTGCCATTTTGAAAGTTTTATCATTGACAATATCTATATCACTTCTCAGATCTGATAACCGACTGTTAATTGCTGCACGAATGCCTTTCAAAGTATTTTTATGTTACTCTTCATTTGGTGTTTTGGCTTTGCTAGGTCTAGCTTCACAGTAGAACAGTTGAAGTTTAGAGGCTAATTCTTCAGCGCTTACTGATCATGATGAAAGGTCAATGTTGTCATTGAAAGTTTCCAAATGCCAATCTACAATACATGTACATGCATTATGTACCTCGTTAACTTTTATTGTTTTATTTTTCTATATTGTTATAATATTTTTTGTATATTTATTTTTTTATTTGCTTATTATTTGTTTTTTTTTAATTTTTAAAAAAGTGAATTGATGTTTTATTTGTGATCCCTTTTTTTACATGTAGATCTATTTATACTACAATCTGCACATGTATTATGTTTATAAATATGTATTCAACAATCTGCAGAATAAATAACTTATAATCTAATATTTTGATGCCAAATTTGGTGTGTTTTTTGGTGTTCTTGGATTGAGTCATTTCTTGATAAGTTTTTATCTGCTTCTCTGTAACTTTTCTAAATCTATAACTTGTACTTGGCATTTCAGGGGGAGGCAAACCAGGATCTGCAGGCTGCTGAAGATCCATTTGCAGTGGAGTTTGAGATAGACGTGGTATAAGGTCCGAGGCATTAATGGAAGCAGGAAGATGGTCATCTCCTTCATCAACAAAGGGATCCATACCACGTATACCATGGTCAGAGGGCTCTGGTTTCAGTTCAGCTGGAACTAGCTCGGATTTGTCACCAGATATTAGTGAAAGCAATAACTCCGCATCTTCATCGGATAACTCTGGTCGATCAATGACTGGGAGAAAACACTAAATTTTCCATAGGACTTGTCAGGCTCCATGCTTATTGACTGTGTTTTTGGAAGTGATGGGGAGTTGCAGAAGACTGTATGATTTTAGCAGACGTTCAACAGAATTACTTAATATATTTAAATGAAACCAGTAATCTACTTAAAGTTCAACATTTTTTTCTATAATTCATTTTTTATTTTATTTGTGAAAAAAAAAATATTATATCTTATTACTTTGTAAATACATTAAACAAAACAACTATATTTTTCTTCAGTGTATTCATATGCCAGTCATATACTGCAAGTTTGAAATTTGACCTTTCAGTAGTATTTTAATAGAGAAATTTACATGCCACAGGTATCACAGTGAAATTAACAAGATTCACTTTTGTATTGTTTATCAGAGGGAAAACAATTGGAAATGGAAATATTAAAGGAAATCACTCATGTTTGAGTATTTTAAAATAGTTTATAGACAAGATGTTGTGGAAAAGATTTTGATATCTGTAATCACTGATAATTGTTTTGACAAGGCAAATCTTATACATTCTGAAATTTTGTCAACCCCAGTGTGGCTAAACTCTTGTATCAAAGTGAATAAAAAGAATTTTTTTTTAAAGAGTGGTACAAAAATGGTGTAAAAATTATTGATGATATTTTTTTTAGATGTCATTAGATCATTTTTATCTAGAGAGAATTTTGTGGAAAAAAAACCAGCATTCATCATGTAGGTTTTATGCAGTATAACAACATTATCAGTGCTATTTCAAAGTTTTTAAAAGATACAAAATTCTCTAGGGTTGGTTTTTCAAAGCTGCAGCGTCATTTTTTTCCCATTGTTATACAAAAAATTAATATTGATGGATAAATGTTCAAACATGTTTATAAAATTATTAACATAAAGAAAGTAAAGCAAACTGGTTTTTCAAAATGGAATTCAGAAATGCTTTGAAAAGGATATCAAGAAATAGAATTGAGATATGTTTTCATGTGTGCTTTAAGGTATCTTCAAATTCAGCTGTCCAATGGCTACAATTTAGAATCTTGCATTGAATACTACCTGTGAAACCATACTGCACAGTCTCTTCATGTGTAAAGATGTATTGCATGTTTGGAATGATCTTCGTCTACATATTTATAATTATACATCAAAACGTGTAGGTTTTAATATTCAAAATTTAATCTTTAGAGAGTTATCATTGTTAAAAAAATGTCATAAATTTTGTAATTTTAAAAAGTAGTATAGTAGGATTAACCCTGTTTCCATCCATTGTACTCCCCTCTTTCATAGAAATTTTTAGTAAAAGATGTAAGTGTCCCCCCCCAGCAGGATTTGAGGGGAGAGCGAACCGCTTAAGGAAAGATGTTCATTAAAAAAAGACGAAAGGGAATTCTGCTGACAATCTTTTTTTTTGTCTTGTTTTATTTTATTATGTTAATGTCAATAACTTGACCATATTGCAACAAAAAGAAAGGAGGGGGGTTATGTCGTGGACTATAAATTTAACACGTTTGAAATGAAATTGGAAACACTAAGATGCATATGTTAAATCTGCAATATTAGAATATATATGCATTTAAGTGAAACCTGTTATATTAAAAAATGTTAATATAAAGGCCCTTTTTTAGATTCAGAAATAATAGCTTAAAGAAAAATTGTTGATATAAAATGTTGAACATTCACTCGAGGCATGCATTGTTAACATAAAAAACACTCCTCTATTTCATCTTTTCTGCACAACAGTAATGCAATTCATCGATACCAGATTAATACATTTTGAAGCGATTTTAGGTGTTAGAAACAATCCATTTATACAATATGTACACGTAGTAACTATAAGATACATGTATGATAAATATATATTAAAACCACAATAACAATTTGACTGAAATTTAGGGACAAACTTATTGATAATAATTTGTAACATTTTTCAGATCATTTTTCCAAACTGACTGAAGACGAGGTGTTTGTGTTATTCTGTTTTCTGTGTTCTGACTCCGGTCCTCCTGACTTCACGGACACAGAATGGCTGGACATGCTTAATGAGATACGAAAGGACATGTACGATAATGAGAATCCTGTAACACGTGATAAAGCACAGCAGACTCTGGACAGACTGAAGTCACGTGATTACCTCTGGGTAAATCAGGACAAGATAACGAAGGACACAGAGGTTGAGACAATGTATAAGATAGCATCATTAAACAGCCATATACCATTCCTTTACTGTAGTTATAACACAGTCAGTGTTTACCTGAGATCACGCGGATACAACAGAAAACCTGGAGAGAAGTGTATCATTAGTGATGACAGTGTCCTTGATGCCTTTCTGGTACGCCGTCTACAGATGAACTTACTGACTCATGTCATCATGGAGGACATAGATATATATCATTGGATATACCTCATATGTAAGTCAGTGAAAAAAAATATAATGATTTTTGAGTTTAAAAAATGATTATAATGATTTTTTTTTTATAATTCTGAAGGCTGATATAATGATATATAATATTTCATGACTTTTAAATGTTGTTAATTTTATTCAACTTTAAGGTAGAACCTATGTCGGAAAAGTCTTTGTCACAAGATTTTTAAACTTTTCAAAATGAAAAATTAGCATTTCTTATCAATCAGTCAAAAGCACATATCATGTTTCCTTGTTAACAATTGAAGTGCAGCCTGTGAAACTTGGAATGGTTATTACAAACTTCGACTTCACATTTTCAGTTATTTTTAGGGGTACTTGTCATAAAGAGAATATGAAAAATCTAAAAAAAAAAATACTTATTAAAACATCGCTGTTCGTAGACTTTATAAACTAAACAGTATTAAACAGTATTTCTCAAAAATAAATTCTTTTCTATTCAATTGAAATACAAAGTAAGTCCACATTCTTAAAAAATGTAGGCAAATGAATTCTGTTATTTTTAGTAAATTTTCCACCCTAAATTTGTAAATATTTTTCAGAAGGCTTTGTCAGAATGTTTTCAATCTTTCATATGACGAAGAACGTACCAAAATGATTCTAAAAAGTTATTAAAGTATTTACCTTTCCCCTCAAACTAACGAGAAGTAGTTTATTTACCGATGTTACTTTTCTTGACCTTTTTGCACTTACACAGGGTTTAATTCTTAAGAGGCAGTCCACCGAAAAACCAGGCAGTATTGTATTGATAGGCGGCACATCGAATGTGACGAATATTTGATATTTCATTGAAAACAATATCAATGTAGCCCAAATGGAATAATGTAATCGAAGATTTGTTTTATAATTGCTTATTTAGTAAAATATCCTTTTCTTTCATGTTATTGAATTCCCCTATATAAACCACAGAATTTAGGTCAGAAACGAAGAATTGTAATTTCTAACACATTTTTAACAGGACTATAATTCACTCTGAACTAAATCTAGAAATATTTAGTCTTTCTGTTTAAAAATAAAATTGGTGGGAAAAACATTTTTGAATTAGTTTCCTAGCAAAATATGTAGACATCTTTATGAAATTTTGCAGTGCAAGAGTTATCTCCCGTGGCATCGGTAAATCTGCTACACACCTTACTATCGGAATCTTAGTAAACAAAAAAAAAAAAAAGAAAAAAAAATAGAATCGATACACTAAACAAAATTATTAAACAAAAAATAACTACTTTATTTTCAAAATAGAACTCATTTTCGCCTTCAAACGTAATATTTGGATAAAAATGTGCTGTATTATTCAGGTTGAATCCACGTTTCCATTGATGTATCAGTGACGTCACATACCTGACTAATACTGCGTCACAATCAAATAGTTACAAGATTTCCAGAAAAGTTTGTAAATTCTTTGCGTAAAAGTGCAAGGGAAAATAATTAAAAATAAGTAATTTCTCCTTTTCTGTTCAATTACTCTACACAGTGCATTATCAAAAATGTTAAATAATATTTTATATCTAAATACATGTTTTCAATACTAGAATATGCACAAAAATAATAGATTTTTTATAGTGTTTAGGTTTATTATGTAATTGGGATGTAAAAGTTTTTTTCTTCTGATAATCAAGGAATCGTGAATATTTTAGATTTACGCAAAAATCAATTTAACGAAGTTGAGATGTTTACTTCATGATATTTGTAAAATCTTTAATATATTTATCTATGCAGTCAAATAAAAATAAACAATCAGCGGTACGATTAAAAATATAAAACAAAAAACCCTAAAAAATAAGTTACAATAAGAATATTACGGCTGAACTCCCAACATCAATTTGACACTAAAACGGATGATGGTTCAGTGAAACGTTTATGTTTTATTATAATTATGACATGTATTATTTTTTTAATATAATCTGGAGATCGAAATATTAACATACTAACGTTTAATATGGAGTTAAAATATGTGGCTATGTTGGCCAATTCTAAAATGTTTTTATATTCATGAAACCCGTTTTTGAAAAAAAATGATGCCATGATGCCGCCTTGCCGCCCCCCCCCCCCCCCCCCCCCCCCCCCCCCGCAGCTTTTTGCTTGCGATTTATGGGCTCTTATTAGTAATTATGTATATGAAAGAACTTTTTTTTATTTACATAAAATAAAATTTTGTAAAAGAGGAATATATACGGGAAAAGGATGAACAGATGACAGGTTGAAAAAACTTGGATAAACCCTAGACTGTACACATAAAAATATTTTCTGTATTTACGCTGTAGGTACGTGCAAGAATAATTTCCCCACTAATAGAATTTTACTCCTTATTTATTCCTGAGAAAATATTAATAAAAGAAAAAAAAAATTACTTGGAAATAAGATATTTAATTAAGCTAAGCTGTCTTCTCTAAGTTGTTGAATAATGCATGTACAAATCTTTTTTTTTTAAATACCGAGTATCAAGAAATAAAACGTTTTACATGTACACTGTAATCATGTACGTAAAAGACATTAGGAATTTAAATATATACATTTGAACATATGGACAAACCATTTAAAACATTTACTGACTGAAAAGAAACAAAAGATAGACATATTATTTTTCTGGTAAATTAAAATTAAGAACCAAGTTTAGGACCTAATTTCACGGTAAAAAACATTGCCGATTGAAATAAAACCGACCCCAATCGAAAATAATTCAAAATTATAAAGTTATCAAACTAAAGGCACCTATAAGACCAAGCTCCAGACAGCTCAGTATTACGTTACGCTACAACTCCATATTCGAAGGGCACGAAAGTAGTCCCGGAGAATCGACACTGTATGGAGTTTGCTATAAGACATTAATAAAAATAAATAAAGTAAATTTTGAACTATGTTACAACAAAAGAGCCAAATTTAACAATACAATTATAGTATTTTCTTCTTTATATAATTCCGATCGGGATCGGTTTTATTTGGGAAAAATCATACATAATAAGTAAGTTTGACTTCTTTTATTTCTCTCAATATACCCGTTCCCATCAATTTTATGAAGTGACTCATTTGTATTCATAATAACATGAGGAAAAAATTCTGTCATAGTAATGTATTGGATTTTATAACGTATCAAAAATCGAATACTGAAATTAAAAAAGTTACTTGTTAAACTCAATTTTGGACCACATTATTTTTTTCTAAAGAAATATAATAAAACATTGTATTTTTTATACCCTAATGTTGACCTTTTTGCACTTAAAATTAGGCATTTACCAAAAATAGGAATAAAGGACCACTAAAATTTTTTTTGATGTTGTCATGTGTAAACACTTGCATTAAGAAGTCTACGTGCAAAAAATAATTAAAATCCATGACATGCCGTGTCCCACCTATTGCCTGGTTTTTCGGTGGACTGCCTCTTAAATGACTGTTTGGGGTTACTTTCAGATTTACAGTGTGAATATTTATCAAGAATTGAATTTTTCTACTTTAAAAGATCATATTTTGATAGATAATTTTTAATCTAACACCAACCATGAAAAATAATTAATACATAATAAAACAAATAACTATGAAAAGGAATGAACATCATGATAAACATTAAAAAAAAATTATACACAATCTTCAACATATCTTTGACTCAAGACACATCAATTTTATAAAGATACTATACTCCAAAGTTGGCAACTAAATTTTTTTTTTAGGATTTTTGCATTTCCTAAAAATAGTTGCATACCATTTACAAGTTATCACAATGTTATTTCATTACATGATAAAGTCTTGTCCACTTTAGGTCAGAAAAGGTGCCTGCAGATTTCTCTAAATTGAGAAATGTATTTTAAAAGTCATTTAGCTTTATAATCAAAAATATATAAATTGATTATAGGTATTAAGAGTATTTTGGCATGATTTAAAATTGAATACCGTGAATTTTGAAATGCTTCTTTTACTACAATTTCAATTGAAGCTTTAAAGTATGGGAAAAAAGTAACATTTGTAACCGGAAGTAGAACTCTTCAGTGTATAAATTACCAAAGTTACTAGCCAACTTGGCTTAAAGGAGTAAACTAGCTCCAGTTATAAATGATCAACCCAGGTATGGGGATTTCTGAACTATGGTCAACGCTAAATGAAAACACAGTTGTAAGTTTTATCAATTTAATAAAGTGAGAATTTAACCTTTGTAAATGATAACAAATAATAAATAATGATCAAAATTTAACAAACAGAAAAGTCTTTGAAAATGGCACAGGATAAATAAAGCTTTATCAAAAAATGTAATTTAATCTGATAAATGAATCTCAATAATCTCAATGAATAATCTTAATAGATAAACAAGTTGTTGTTGAAGAAAATGAAATAGAAAATGGGAGGAATGTGGCAAAACTATGAAAAATAATTTATATCCCTATTGGGCTTCCATACTTTTTCAAAAATCTTATGACTACTATCAACACTCTAGAGTTGAATTGAAAATATCAATGCTAATTCTACACTGTAGGCTCTAAAAATAACTGACCCAGAAAATAAACAATACCCAAAAATAAATAATAAATAGTGGTTCTAGAAAATAAACCTGTTATCTACATATCCCTAGAGCAGACTGGACTTGGAAAGGGGAAACTAAATTTACTTTAAATACCCTACATCTTAACTGTTTCCTAACATGTGAAAAACGTGAAACTAAATCTAAGCTAAGACCTAGAGAACTGTTAAACCATGAGGTTTTCTTAGCCCGCTAAGTAACATTGCTCATAAACCATGAGGTTTTCTTAGCACAGAAAAGAGGAACTAACCATGAGGTTGTGTTCCCCAACCCAAGTGAAGAAAACTACACGAACACGGGTTTAAATACCCTGACAAGGCCCAAAATAAAAGCCAATGACTATCAAAGATCCTAAAGCTAAGTTAACCAATCAGAACGCAGCTATCAAAAGTACTACGGAAAGACTGCCAACATGGATGACACTTCCTGTTTAAAAAATAAAACATGTGGAATGTCAACTCATGTCCTAACTTATAAAAGACTAATAATAAAGGGGTTTTACTTAAGTAACAACTGAAAACATAAGGTAAATAGAATTATCAGACTGAAATATCAGCAGATACTTGTAAAATAGGAATTACGAAACGATGGCTATGAAATGAAAATCTAAACCACTACACATTAAATTGATTATGACATCATAATGGATCTGGCACAGGCTAAACTCATGATGTCATACGATGTAGGTTCTACATTAAGGCGCTTTCACGTGCTATAATCTGAAGATACATCCAAAAGTTTTGCCAATATAACATATCAATGGTTATTTTAATCGAACTCATTCCTGATTTATTTTACCAACATGTTTTAAATGTATATTTTATTCAAGATTAAATATTGAGTTTTATGCGACATTTGTCTTTTTTACAGTGGCTGTTCCAGAAAATATAGTAAAGGATAGTAAAGATAAAAGAGAAAAATATTTAATTGATCTAAGAACAGAAGGAGAGCCTCTACATGTTAGTGGAAGATCGCAGAACAGTGCAGATCACGTGACGTGGCTCTGGAGATACAAGTATGACGCGGGACCAGCAATCGTGAGATCCTGTATAGGCCTCCATCCACACTGGGACATTTATATCATTGACAACAAAGCTTACAGAAAACCAAGTAAAAAGGATTACATTTAAAATTGTACAAGATTATATATGGCAGGCGGGGATCTGAAAAAAAAAATCAAGAAGATGGGGGGGGGGGTCGATAAGGAAAAGAGTTATAACGTATTTTACATATATACATGTATTTGAATAACTCTAGGGTACAGGATTGAGTATGCATTTTTTTTTAGGTTGATCAAAAGTTTTTGAAAAAAAAAGAGAATAAAGAATTAAGTACGTTACTTATTATACGGAGGCCCACTATTTTCCGTAATTTAATACACAGGTTTACCAAATTATAAAGTCTGTGTGCATATACTAGAAGATTGGTTGTTTTAAAATATGCGAAGCAAAATTTCCAAACTCCGTTAATTAGACGTATACACCACGTGTAAAGATCCGTTTTTTCCGGAAATTGCTAATTTTTCCAATATTTTAAACAGATATTTCTAAAATTGAAGTAGTGCACATCCCTCGAGCAAAATAAAACATGTATATTTCAAAACATTTTGATGAAAGACGGATGAAAACAGGGATAAGATTTTGCTCGAGAAATGTGCAGTATGTTTATTTTGACTTTACATCAGTATTTCCTGTGGCGGATTGAAAGTTCATTGAGAGGTGTAATTTTATTTATTTTAAATTAAGTCACCATAGCTCATAAAATGTTAATAATTTAATACTTTATGCATCGGCAATATAAATTTATTTTTCATGTTAGTCTATTAGTCATGAAAAATAGCATACAATCCTAGAAAATATGTAAGGCAGATTACGATGGACCCTGCGATGTGTAACCTGCATATGTCAAATACTTTGAATAAGGATAAAGAACCAACGAAGACACTAAAATAAAAACAAATGTAAATTTGATTAATGGTATTAGCACAGAAGAAGAAAAAGGGCCTGAATTTTATTTTGGAAACTGAGAAAGTTCAAAGCTACCCGTCAGCAGGTGTGAATAAATTACGTAATAACGCAAATGATGACGTCACAATAGATCCAGTTTGATTTTCTTATAACTTATTTTTTTTTATTATTTTAAAACACTTACAATAATCCTTTGCAAGATCTGTTCAAAATTATCAATATCCTGTATATATGGTTGCATTCTCGTATAAACGAACATGCAAATATTATAACCCCCATCCCCCCAGCCAGATGTTTAATATTAAAAATGATAGACTGAAAATGTTGATATTTAATTTCACGCTCTATATTTGTTGCTTATTGCATCTCTGGATAAACTTTTGAATGCACCAGCCTTTATTTTAAGAGACTTTTTTTAGCTCACCTGAGCCGAAGGCTCAAGTGAGCTTTTCTGATCACATTTTTTGTCCGTCGTCCGTCCGTCCGTCTGTCCGTCTGTCCGTCTGTCTGTCCGTGTTTACGAGAGTGCATTTATTGGGTATTTTTCATGCCAAGATTGTACTTATTGGGTACTTTTTGCTTATTGGGTATACCCAATAAGAAGTGTCGCTGAATATGCTTAAAACACCCTAATTGGGTATTTGCAGGTTAGTACCCAACAAAACTTGGACACGACGATTTGTCCAAAAAAGTGTCCAAAAAAGTGGCTTTCACGGACGCACCGTGTTTTGTTGTTTCAGTTTTACATTCGGAACTCTAAATTCTCGAGAGTTCCGAAAATCAACTTCCGTTGATCCTGATCATAACAACGTTTGTTTTCATGGAAAAAAAATATGGCGACTAAAAAACACTTGATGTCAACAAGATTTTCTGATTGACAAGAGAAAAGGTAAGTTTATTCGATTAATATTTATCCATTGCTGGGTTCTTGTTTAAGGAAAATAGATTTTAATGTAATTTTGAAAGCAATTGTGCACAAAATCAATATAGATATATCGGAACAATTAATCCTAAGTTGCACTTGTTTGTATTTTGAATTTTCTCTGTCTTTTTAACTCTCTTGAGGGCGAGAAATATTTAGTAAATGATCGTATATTGTTAGATAATCTTTAATAAATCGAAAGTTTTTATTATTTAATTTTATATCATAACCAACTAAGTATGTTCTGACAATGTATATTGGAAAGGGAAATGAAAATTTTAACAATCGTGTGTTCATAAATCAGCTGTAAATTATCGGTTCATGTAGACAGTATTACAATCGCAAAGTGAGCCGAGATGATGATAAATGGGATAATTGACAACAACTAAATAATTGTATGTAAGTTTATCTCATCTGATATGTAACTTGAGAGATTCGTTGTATTACTGAAAAACTTTCAGTCAAAACAGCGCTTCTTTCTGTCTTTGATTTTGACTGAGTGTCTGCTTTATTTTGATTTTTTTTTAATTATTGTTTTTGTCATTTGTTTTAATTAATTTAAAACAATACTGAAATTGATATAGGGCTACTATAACTATTTCACATGATGGCTGTGTAATTAGCATTGCGCTACCCTGGGCTTCCATTTTTGAGGATGGGGCTAGTGGTTTTCTGCACTGAGGTTCCCCTTGGGCTGTTAGGAATTTTAAAATACACATGTAATACATGAAAAGCACCACCGGTATTTTCACTCTTTTTTGCTAATAAATTCCCTAATATGGAAGTATTCCAGACAGCATCCTCATATTATCCATAAATTTCCACAACTGCATCCATTTTGCAGTACTACAAGACTGATTTACTAAAAAAACGATCTTTTACTTCCTAATTTGAATTCCCCCTTTCCTTTGTTTAATATAGCATTATTTGCATGTACATATATGCCTCACAGATATGTCATTATTAAATTATATACATTTACTCAATCAGCTCAATGATAAGTGTCATGCAATTATGTTGCGCTTTTTTTATTTAAAGCCATATATGACGTAACTGATAAAAAAAAATATTTTTGAAAAATACAAAATTAAGTAAAGAAATATAGTTAATACATTTAAATTAAAGCTTTTCATACAATTCGGAGCACGGAGAACACCTCGTTTTATCTAATAATACGATTTTATCTTCTCTGTAATGTGTTATTTAAATCTTCTGTATTTTCTTCGAAGTCCGAGAATCCAAATTTAATTTTGATATCTTTATAACGCAATTGACTTAGATTTTGTAATTTACGGAAAATTTCTATCTTTATCATGTTTATATAAAGTAATGATACAAATAATAAGTTCTTATAATTTTAGTCTAATAATTTTCATTGTACATACGCCCTATATGGCTTTAAATGATTCAAGATGAAAACAAAATGATTTTTGCTTCGTTTTAATTAGACGAACTAGTGAATGACCAGAAAAGGAATATTTAAAATCTTTTTTTCATTTTTTTTTAAATCATTAATTTATATATGATTAAATTTTACTTGCGAAAATTAAATTAAACTTTTATTTTAAAAAAGAATCATCTGTATAGTTAATACCCTGGGGCCCGATTCATCAAAGGTCGTACGCCCAGTCGTAGCGCTACGCCGGCGTAAAGTCGGGACTAGCACGAATATTTGTTTCATTAAAGAGCGTATCGTTACGCCTGACTAAATTTAGGCCAAAATTTTACGTCTACTTATGGGTAGGCGTAAGTTAGGGCGTAAAGTTAAAATAAGGCCTTTTTATTAATTTTAGCGAGTTCTAAAGAAAAAGTAAGGTTCTAAGAAGAATTTAAAATACAAACAATGCATTATTTAATTATACATATTATGAAGAGGAGGAGGGGGGGGGGTGTTGTTACAACTACTTGGGGACGTAGTTGATTTGAGTAATAACGTACTCAAATAATATTTTGATAAATTTCTGCTGAGAAGAAAAGATTGTCTTATTAGAGATTTCTTACGTTTTGACAATGCATTCATACACATTTGATTGTGGTATTGTATGTCTAAGGTATTGTAAATCAATTTACATATATAACTGTATTTCTACACCCTGCTTGACGGTACATGTATATGTACATGTATATACTATTTAGTAATCGGGATGTCCGTCCGTCCATCTGTTACGCTTTGGGGGTACCCATCTCTATCCGCAACTCCTTTCATATCACTGATTGAAATTTGGTGAAATTTTCACAGAATCTTTATTATATATTGCCATTGTGCCTTATTGTACTTTTTGATCCGCAACATATTTTGGGTTTCCCACAGCAAAACATGGACACTGCCATTATATTTATATGGAAGGCGGGGGGATATCTTTTATTGAACTCATTGCTTACGGTACCTCTAGTTTCTTTTTCATTTACTAAAAAGAGACCCATTAAAATTGTCTATTTTGAAAAATATTTTCCAACAGCATATTTTCTGAAAAACAAAAATTACAAAAAAAAAAAAAAAAAAAAAAAAAGTTTCAAAAGCATAGTTATCATCTTTCATGTAATTTTCTACATTTAAGAAAAAAATTCAAAAAAAAATAACCCATCTTAAAACCAAATAGCTTTTGTCGTGTTTGAAGAGCCCATTTCTTATTTACTTCTCGTGGATCCAGAGGGGGTCGGAGAGAGGGTTCAGAATCTCTCGAATTTGCAGATTAATTAACATTGAATGTACAGATTACTTAGTTAAGGACAAAAGTAATTATTTTCCTAGGTATCTGGGACAAGTGATTTTCCCGGCGAATCATAGACCCCAACCCAGGGAGGGGGTTGGGGTCTCATAGACATATTTAGTAACAATACAGTGACTCGTGCGTGCATAACAAAATGGCTACACTTAAGAAAGCCTTCCTAATATTTACGTTGGAAAAGTAATATAAAATGTATCAACTCAATTACCGGTAATCTTAGAAATATATGTACTGAAAGATTATTCATCAAAATTAATATTTGTCTCGGATTTATGTCTGGTACATCTCCATTTCGGCTAATGTCAGTGTAAGGAAACGATTTTTTTTTTCTGTAAGACATTTTACTTACGCACTGTAGATCCAGTCTAAATTCATGAAATTGATGAAATGATGTTAAAACCTTATCAATATCTTAAAGACTGCATATATCTTATTGTACCCCCTAAGTTTCATTTAATTCAGAGACGTGTAAGTGCATTTTTTCATACCTTT